TTTAAATATTTTAAATTTTAAAAAAAGTAAATCATAAACAAATTTATAGCAATTTTCCAGGCAAATTTGCCTGGAATGGTCTACAGTTTAAGAGATATATTTTAGCAAGTTATTTTTATATATTTTGTAATAACAAAACAAAAATACAAAGTAAATTTTTGAATTTAAATCTTAAACTTATTGTTAATTAATATAAAATATATACAAATTAAACTTTAATTTGTAAAAAAACTAATTTGTAAATTTTAAAAATTTTTGAAAATTTTAAAATATATATTTAAAAATATAAAATTATATAGTTAACTTTGACTTTTATTATATATTAATAATATATTTGATTAACAAATTTTTTTTTCTAAAAAAGATTATTAATATCAATTATATTTCAAAGCATGATTGTAAACTATTCTAGAAATAATCTACAAATTTTGAATAATTTTTAACTATATTATACTTTTTTTTTTTTATTTTATTTTTGACAGGTTTTGCTATGACTTAATCTTTTAGTTTTATTATATACAGTTGCACCCCTTAAGTGCACACTTCCTAAGTACACATCTCTCTATATGTGTACCAAAGCCTAGTCTCGAGCTCAGAACTTAAACACCTCTATATTCTACACATGTGAAGTTTGCAAAGCTCAAAGCATATATATGCAGACCTATAAGTGTATGCACGTAACAACTGGCCAATGATAATAAAGAATTTTTATATATGTTATTTGTCCCTTGAACATAGCACTTTAATTATTGAATAATAATGAATATCTATTTTTCAATTTTTATTTTAATTCGTCACATTATTTAGTGCAAAGTATAAAGTCATAATATATTTTTTTTGATCTGGCTTCAAAAAATATGATAGCAGATACAGACAACAGATAAGTAGCATTATCTATATGTACAAGCATTGTATTATTTAAATTTTATTTACCGTACTAAAAGCATAAGATTTTTTTTTTTACAAGCAAAAAAAAATCCTTTATATAGTATTTATTAAAATATAAAATATTTAAAATACAGTCTACCCTTATTTATATCAACCTATTTGAATTAGTTTAAATTTATATTGATAGTTATATTAACAAAAGATTATAATAAAGTTGATATATATAAGGAAATTTTAATATATAATAATTTGTAAAATTTTATCTTATAGCTTTAGGTTGATATTAATGAAGTTGATATTAATAAGAAGAGACTGTAATCTATTTAATTTTTCTTTATAAAAAATTGATCAATTTTGCTTTGCTGCATTTGGCTAATCTTGGTTTTTTTAATAAATTTTTTAATTCTTTTTACTAGATTAATATATTCCTTCATAACATTCTGCTGAAGCAAAAATATACATAGAGTTTCCAAACTCTTAGATGCTATGTTGGTACTAACAATAGAAACTTCAAAGCTATCATCTTTATCTTCCAAGCCACTATTTGTTGGATTATTCATTCAGAATATTTTAACAAGCTCTGTAATAACATAATCATTAGAGAGAATTTTATAAACAATATTTTTTTCGGGGATTGCCAAATACTCTTTAATTTGTATAGGGTCAGGAAGGTTAAGAGCTCTAAGTACATCAATAATATTATTGAGAATGGGGTCTGTAATTTGGTAAAAATTCTTAAAAGAATTTTGTAAATCAGAGTTGGCATCTGCAGAAAGTATCTTTGTGTGATACTAACAATTGCAAATTGTGTTAGCTTTAACTTTGTCCTACTCTTGAATAGTAAAATGGATAGCTTGTAACACACTTATTTTTAAATTCTCTACATACTATCTATTTTCAACTTCTTGTAACATCCAACTTAAAAAAAAACAACTAATATTAGTGTAATATTTAATTTTTTTTTTTTTTAATCAAAAGTTTACCAAACTTGAAGATAATGATAATTCCTTTTGAAACTCATAATGATACTAGCATCTATAGGCTAAATCCTTGAGGTTGTGTTTGGAGACAAAAATAGAACATCAGTAAATCAAAGAGTAATATTATTAATACTATAGCTAGGGCAGTTATCTAAGAGCAAAAGCACATGTTGGCTCTAATACTTAAGACCGACTTGGCGATTAAATTTAAGTATTCATACTTGAAAGAGAGATATAATTATCCAGGCTTTAGTACTGCTTTTATACTTTATAGATAAATTACTAATTCTAATATTTTTAAAACAGCATAGCTTTTTGTACTTTCTAATTACAAGTAGATCAATTTAGTGAGAACTATCAGCATTTGAATACAATATAATTAAAAGGTATTTCTTGTTTTTTTTATATCCAAAAAGATGTTAAGTAGCTAATGTATAGTTGGGTTCTAATCTGAAAATAAATTTTAGTAATATTTAGTAATACAATATATATATAATTTGCTTAAATTCTATTTTAATCTAGAATGTATAATTTATACACTATACACTAAGTAGAGTTTAGCAAGTGTTAGGCATGGTGCTATTAAAACATAGAGCCTAATTACTCAGACACTATGTTTTAATGGCATCATGCTCAGCACTTGCTAAACTCTACTAATAAGAGGCTTGTACTGATAGAAAAGCCCAGTTTCATTTATATTGTAGATTCTTTCAAAAGAATAATTTGTACATTTATCTTTTATTAATAGTATAATATTGTTAATTGCCATCATATCAACAGATATGGCTTTCTTTTAAAGTTAATATAGATAAATGCCATTTTAATTTTTAAATTTATAGAGCCAGCTAGGAGAAAAATTTAGTACTCCTTGAAGAATGTCCAAACTATCAGCAAGTACTTTGCTTTTTCAACAAGTAAAGCATCAGTTAAAACTGTTTGATACTAATAAATCAGCACGAACTCTTTAAAAGCGAGATCAAGTTCTGAATAGATAATAGTTCTGTGATGCTTTGTTTTAGAATTACTGAGTTTATTATCTAGTTATTCCTTAGCTGTCTTCAAAATACGTGAAACTATGCTTTTATTGACTCTAAGATCCCACTTCTTCTCAATTTAATTAATATAATATGATCGAGGTTGTTTATTGTCACAAGCATAGATGCAAAGTTCATGTTTTTGTGAATCAGTAAGAGTTGTTCTTTTGGGCATTTTTTGAATGAAAAAAAAGTTGATTAAGCACAAAATAAGTTATTTAAAATTTTTTATACCTTTAATATATAAATTTAAAGAATTGCAATTTTTAATTTTTTTTTTTTTTGGTCTTAACAGTGTGTTATTTTTACAAATAAAGAACAGATATTTTATTTAGTTTGATATTAATTTGATACATGAACAAGAAAATTTTAATATATTAAAATTAGGTAAGTTCACAAAAGAGATATTAGATTTATTAGACTATGCTTTATCAAAGACAAACTTTTTTTATTCATAAGGAGTTGATAATAAATAAGGTTTGCATTTTATGAGATGCTTATATGAACAATAAAATAAAAT